TAGGATTGAAATACAAACGACTTTTGGCTGAGGGTCACATTATAATTCCTCACAGAATCGGAGATAAAAAAAAGAAAATAACAGAATCACACAAAGGCAYCCCCCTTTAGACCCCTTTAGCCCCTTTAAAACCAATTTATACCCCCCTCCCCCCCCCTTGACAGCCAACTCACAAAAAACGAAATGAGCCCGGATTTGGAGTCCTCTGGGAGAGCGCAGAAAACCAAAAAATATATATATATTTTTTGCATGCGCAGGTACCCCGGGTGTCACGGCCGGGTGCCCGGCCGGGCGTGAGAATCTTCCTAGTGTTTTGCCCCCAAAAAGTGTATTTTCAAACTCTTTTTGTGACCGCAGCGTAGTTTCCCCCCCAAAAAAACTTTCCTCAGAAATGTGCAGAATTCTAAGACTGCAATTGTACGGATTGTAGCGATCATCTTCACGCAATTGTGCCTAGCATTGCTAGCAACGAACCCCCCCTTTCCCCATCTTCATGGGCAAATCCGATCGCCCGATTGGAGAACATTCTGCAATTATGTCTGCAAGTATGCCTGTAATTATGTCTCTAATTCTGTCTTCTATGTGACTCTGTGATTATGTCTGTATTTATTTTTAAAAGGGAGACGGCCTTGAGATATCATCATTGAGCTGACCAGCCCCAGGTAATTCAGAATTACATTATTCTGCTCATCGGATTGCATCGGAATCCGAGCTCAGGTCTGTATTTCAACAGTTCATAGGTGTACCAACTGAGCTCGGCAGGCCCATTGTAATTATGTCTGTAATGTCTGTCTGACTCTGTAGTTCAGTCTGTTATCATTTGTGTAGTGATGTCTCTCATGCTGTCATCTATAATCATGTCTGTACTGCATGTTCATTACTTTTGCCTTTTTTACATAGCGTGTTTTGGGGATTTTTGCCTTTTGTACATAGCGTGTTTGGGGGAATTTTGCCACTTTACCCTTTTTTTGGTTCTTCGAGACAGACTACGCACACTGTACTTGATGATCATCGGACACCGAAACTCAGAATCGTGCCGAAAAACCGAAAGAATCGCACTTTATTGCTTCCAAGACTTACGCACAAAACGCAAAATTAATGTACACAAACTTCATGTCTGTAATCAATGGGGGAGGTGATTTGTCAGATGATGAACGGCAGGGCATCTTTGCACCATTCAAGTGTTCCTAACACGTCAGCCTTTTGCTGAAACGTACGGAGAACGGTACAGGCCCCCGGGACCCCCGCCGGGGCCCCGGGGCCGGGGCTCGACAACCCTGGTACAGGGGCTTGGGAGTTCATGGGCTGTGAAATTCGTGTGAAGTGTTCCTTTCCTATGTTGGGCTGTCGCCTGGCCTGGCACGCCCGGGCCAGCTGGGCAGAGGGGGGTCGCCTGGCAAAACCAGACGGGTCACGAATGAGGCAAGGATCCCCCCCCCCAAAAAAAAAAAAAAGGACGCCCGGTCTTAACTTCGGTTTGGGTGATGGGTCATCCAGGGGGGGTTGGGGGTTATAAAGTTATAGATAGTGACTAAAGGGCTTAAAAGGGTACATTTTGGTGCCCGGTCCGGGCCGCGGGGGAGGGTAACCTGGCGACCTTTCCCCAGGGGCCATGCTAACTTTCCTTTTCTGTATCATTTGAACTTTAATGGATTGCCCAGAGGGCCCAAAGTGTCTGTGGGCGGCCCAGTGTCTTCAGTAATACAGAGGCCGGTACAGGTACTGTGCCAAATTTTCAAATGGCGAAGTACCGATCAGTCGGTGGTGACTTTCATATCCAAATTTTGGACCATTTCGTGATTTAGTATTTATGCTTGTCATCCTTGCACAGGGGCATGCAAATCTTCCCTTTTTTTGTTTTTTCCTTCTTTTTTTTTGTTTGTATGTCGTTCCAATTTTAACGGATGTCCCAAAGGACTTTTAGTCTTGTCAAAGTGCATTTTTTGGTTTGTCGATTTAGCTTCGGATGGACTGGTGGTGGAAGCGAACTTTAACTTCTTTTCTTTTCTTTTCTTTTCTTTTTTTGGGGGGGGGCATGACTTACGTGCCGCCAACTGAAAATATTGCTGGTATCAGTCTTGAAAACTGACGTATTATGATATTACAAAATATCAGGGGTTTGAATCCCTCTCCGTCCGTTCATGTAAAAGAGGCAGACTAGGGAACTCTGGGCTGGAAAGCAGCTCATTGAAAGTCGCAACAATTTTTTATTTTTTTTTTAATTAAAAAAAATAAATTGTCACTTTCATCGAGCTGCTTTCCAGCCCAGAATTCCCAAGTCTGCCTAGTCGGAAGATCTATATATAGCTATTAACTGCAAAAAAGGGGAAAAACAAATCTACAGCTGCCAGTCCAGAAGGGCCTACTCTAAACCTGTCCTTCAGAGATTCTACGGACAGGTCCAAGGTTCGAGTCCTGGCAGCAGCAGACAGCAAAAGACTCTGAAATCCAAGAGACAATTGGAGCGGGTTGCGGGCTCAAATCCCGCTGCCCCGAGTCTCGTGGAAGTTGAGTACGCCGTAGTACGGAAAACATGAACAAACAAAAGAAGAATGCGCGAGAGAAATGAAGTGATATCTGAGTGAGCGGGTGGGCCCGCTGTGCCAACAGGTGGGCTGATCCTGGTGCGTGAAGCCCCCTACCGAACTGCATCCCTGGGTCATATCTCCAACAGCGGTGCAACAAAGGGTGTCGCTCCACAACTCAACATAGGATATGTATCTGGACACAATTTGCACCGCATACATTCAGACTGATCGAAAGTTTTGAATGTACTGGGACCATCACCAGCGCAAGATACACTCTAGTGTGTTGTGCAGTGGAGCGAGGCCCAAAGCATCGCAAAGCTACAAGAAGCAGACAGACAAACAAGAGCATCTGATGATGATGGTAATTGCAGGGAGCATGTTTGTTTGTTTGTTTGTTTGTTTGTTTGTTTGTTTTTTGTTTTTGTTTTTTTTGCAGGGAGCATGTTTGTTTGAATCTGGATGGAATCAGATGAACACACAAAAAAAGTTTGGGGCTACCCTCCCTTTGGAAACGAAGCGAAAATGGAAATCAGTCGGACAAACGAGCAAAACTTCACGAAATGATGGAAGTTCTGTCCCCCATTATGGCAGCCCCCGCCGCCGGGCCATTGTTCCCAAACTCAAAAACCGGTCATAGCTCAATTGTTTTATGGAGAGAAATGGGGAGAATCTTTCCAGGAGGCAGGAGAAGCGGTCTGAATGAGCCACGGTTTTTTCGTGCACAGAGGTGAGGTGAAGTAAAAAAAAAAGTGCATGGGGAAAAAACAAAGAACAAAAAAGCGCATGGCGCGTAGTCCCCGAGTAAAATAAAGGAACAAAACAAAAAAGTGCATGGGAAGGTCCTAGGCTGCTGGTATGTGCCCAAAGTGGAGTGTTCACCTCCAGCCAATTGGCCTCGCACCACTACACAACATTCTACGTGTATATGGATGGAATATGGACCATATTCATTCAGAAAAATCCACCATCTTGAATGTTTTTACACCATCAACAGCTTCAGCTACATTTGGCGTGTGGTGAAGTGAAGCGAGGGCCAATGTGTGGCATCCTGTCTGCCATGCATGCTGCTGGTACTGTTGTTGTTTTCCTTTTTGAGGGCTGGGGAAAAAGGCAAAACAGACACTGGCAGGGCTGGGGAAAAAGGCAAAACAGACACTGGCAGGGCTGGGGAAAAAGGCAAAACAGACACTGGCAGGGCTGGGGAAAAAGGCAAAACAGGCACTGGCACCACCAAACTCATGTGGCTGAATGGAATCCTGATTGAAGCAGATGAACAAAAGAAAGTCAGGGGTTACCAACCCCCTGTAAAATGCCCATTCCCCCGCCACCGAAACCTTGGGGGGACCAGTAGCCCATTCCCCCGCCGCCGAAAACTTGGGAGGATTGGTAGCAGCACTTCATCAGCCCTCCTGGTGGCTCAGTCCTAGAAAAAGTGAGAAAAAAAATGAAAACCCCTCCTGGTGGCACAGTCGTAGAAAAAGTAAGAAACAAAAGGGGTAATTTCAGTGGAGTCACAAAAACGAGTTGTAATTGCACTATGGCCCAAGATACAGTTTGCAAATTGCGCTTTGGGCACCCTGCACCTGGCCAGAAAGCTGGGTTGTATACATTGCAGGCCCGAACTGCAATTGCAAACTGTATCTTGGCCCATGCTGCAATTATAGCTCGTCGTTGCGACTCCCGTGTAGTTTCCCCGGAAAAAGGGGTTAACTTCAGTAGAGTCACAAAAACGAATGAAAACTGACAGTTTGGCGCA